ATTTAATTTCTGCTGTGAGCTATCTGCGATGGTAATTAGAATTACTACCAGTTGTAGGACTGTAGGAGTTGTGTTTTAATTTCAAGGAAATGTAGTGTGTTCTCTTTTATCATTAGTTTTGGAGTGATTGGGATTAAAGATCTTCTGGCTTTGTAAGGGAAATAGTAACGTTTTGTGTTTTCTGGACTCAACAGCGGAATACTCTCCCTTCATGGGAATCGAGAAGGGTGCCGTTCTTCAGGAAGCTAGGGTTTTCAATGACCCTCAGCTGGATCCAAGAAGATGCTCTCAGGTTTTTGACCTGTGCTTTGCTTTCTCTATTAGATAACTTGTCTTTCAGGAATATTAATGGGTCTATTTTAATTGTTTTCTTGCTTTGATGATAGGTCATCACAAAGCTCCTTTATCTACTTAACCAAGGGGAAACTTTCACTAAGGTTAAGCTTTTTCCATGCAGTAATTTAGTGCTTGATTCTTACATTAATAATGTGCATTGCCTAAACTGTTCTTGCAATATCCTTACAGGTTGAAGCTACCGAAGTTTTCTTTGCTGTAACGAAGCTATTTCAGTCAAGAGATGTTGGGTTAAGAAGGATGCTCTATTTAATGATAAAGGAATTATCTCCTTCAGCTGATGAGGTTGTATATTCTAGCTTGAGCTACCAGCTTTCGTGCTTCACCTCCTTCTCCTATTATTGCTTTCAAAAACAGATGCTGACTGGCTCTACCTTTTGTTGGGAATAGGTTATCATTGTGACAAGTTCCCTTATGAAGGACATGAATAGCAAGACTGATATGTACCGGGCGAATGCCATTCGCGTGCTTTGTCGGATAACAGATGGAGTTCTGCTGACTCAGATTGAGCGTTATCTGAAGCAAGCTATTGTTGACAAGAATCCAGTAGTTGCTAGTGCTGCTCTAGTCAGTGGTATCCATTTGCTTCAGGTGCTGATGAATTTCCTACATAGTGGTCATTTTTTCTTGTGAGTCATCTTTCTTGCTAATTGGCTTGATGTGTGTCTTCCTTTTTGATAGACAAATCCAGAGGTAGTGAAAAGGTGGAGTAACGAAGTTCAAGAGGCAGTACAGTCAAGGGCTGCCCTTGTACAGTTTCATGCTCTGGCTTTGCTCCATCAGGTATGCAGAATTCCAAGCTTGGTGTTGGATTTTTGTCTCAACTTTCTGGATGATGCATTTGCTTTTACTAAAATGAAATCAGTTCTATAAATTCTGCCATGATGGTGTGGATAAAGTAAAGTGTTCAATGATTTTGATTACGATGAAATGACATGGACTGCTCTTGGTTATGAAATATGCAGATACGACAGAATGACCGACTAGCTGTTAGCAAATTGGTTACTAGTTTGACCAGGGGAACTGTTCGTTCACCATTGGCTCAATGCCTTTTGATACGTTATACGAGTCAGGTTTGCTTTTTATGAAACATGTGTCAATTGTAGTTAGCAATCTCTGGGTTCAGCTGTAATATTGATATGATTTTGCAGGTCATCCGTGAGTCTGCTTCTAACTCACAAGGAGATCGCCCGTTCTATGATTTTCTTGAAGGTTGTCTTCGTCATAAGGCAGAGATGGTCATTTTTGAGGCTGCTCGAGCTATCACAGAGTTAAGTGGTGTGACGAGTCGAGAACTGACTCCAGCAATTACTGTGCTACAGCTCTTTTTGAGCTCTTCCAAGCCAGTATTGCGATTCGCTGCTGTCCGCACCTTGAACAAGGTTGATGTTCCTATAAGATACTTTTCTTTGCACTGCAGTCTCGTGGTAGAAAACGTGTTCTTATAATGTTTGTGTCCAAGTGAAAACTTGTGCAAGAAGCGCTGCTCCTGGTTTTGCCCATTTAGTCAATGAAATTTTATCAAGTACTGATGAAAGTTATTTGACAGTAGATGTGTTACAGACTATTTTATATATGGTTGGATCCCTTGATCTACTTCATTTACATTAACTCGTATGTTACAGGTTGCAATGACCCATCCAATGGCTGTTACTAACTGCAACATAGATATGGAGAGTTTAATTTCCGACCAGAACAGAAGCATTGCCACACTTGCCATCACCACGTTGCTAAAGACAGGAAATGAGTCGAGTGTAGATCGCTTGATGAAGCAGATAACAAATTTCATGTCCGATATTGCTGATGAGTTTAAGATTGTGGTAGTGGAAGCCATAAGGTCTCTGTGCTTGAAGTTTCCTCTGAAATACAGAGCACTGTAAGTAACCTATTTCTCCCTACTTGTGCAGTGCTCTTTGTTGTACTTCACGGAACAGTAAACAAAACCATTGCCTACTTTGTAAACTTACTTTGAGATACTAATGGACCATGTTTCTTTTATTAAGGATGAACTTCTTAAGCAACATTTTGAGGGAAGAAGGTGGATTTGAGTATAAGAAAGCCATTGTGGATTCAATTGTGATCCTTATCAGAGATATCCCCGATGCAAAGGAAAGTGGGTTGCTTCATTTGTGTGAGTTTATTGAAGACTGTGAATTTACCTACCTTTCCACTCAGGTAATTCGGCTGATTGTTGCTTTGGTGCTAAGCATATCTCCATTTGTTTGTCTATCTTAATCTGGTTCTGAATATACATTGTTCAATTTTTCTTAGATACTTCATTTCCTGGGGATCGAGGGTCCAAAGACTTCAGATCCTAGCAAGTACATACGTTACATCTACAACCGTGTACATCTCGAGAATGCTACTGTTCGAGCGGCTGCTGTTAGCACGCTGGCAAAGTTTGGTGCTATGGTTGATGCCTTGAAGGTAGTCATTGGTCTTTATAGTAACTTCGCAGCATAGTACAGTTATTCCTGTGGTTTTATTTTGGACTGGACTACTGTTTCTCTACCCATTCACTAGATTTGATATGCCTTCTCTTCTATGCAGCCGCGTGTCTTTGTCCTGCTGAGACGATGCCTATTTGATAGTGATGATGAGGTAATATTTGCTTTGATGTGCATTGTTTCCCCATGTACACGCTATGCTATGTTATCCAGAGTGTTACCTTTCAATTCTGTACCTACTTATTCAGGTCCGTGATCGTGCAACCCTTTATCTCAATACACTTGGTGGCGATGGGGAAGTTGTTGAAACTGATAAAGATGTGAAGGAGTTTCTCTTTGGAGCCTTGGAAATTCCACTTGTCAATCTCGAGACAAGTTTGAGAAACTATGTAAGTCAGCCCTGTCTTGGTCATGCATACTATCGTCTATGGTTCATCATGAAATATGTATCTTGTTGTTGATGTTGTTACAGGTGGCTGCAGAAGAAGCTTTTGATATCAACTCTGTTCCAAAGGAAGTGAAGTCTCAGCCACTTGCAGAGAAGAAAGCTCCAGGGAAGAAGCAGCCAACTGGTTTGGGTGCTCCACCAGCTGCCCCTCCATCTACTGTCGATGCTTATGAAAAACTTCTTTCTTCGATTCCAGAGCTTGCTAGTTTGGGGAAACCTTTCAAGGTGCTGTGTCTGCTTGCTTCTTGTTTTAACTCATATTAGCAGTTTTTTCCTTCTCCTGCAAACCAAGTTGCTTACATTCTTGGGGCTTCTTTTTCCGTTTATTGCTGCCAGTCCTCAGCACCTACGGAGCTTACAGAAGCAGAGACAGAATATGCTGTTAATGTTGTGAAACACATATATGATAGGCATGTTGTGTTCCAATACAACTGCACAAACACAATCCCTGAGCAGCTACTGGAAGAAGTAATGATTTTGATTCTTTGGGTGCAAGTGCCTTTTCCTCGATTTAAAAAGCTGGACGCATTGCTTATGTTAGCATTTCAATTATTAATGTTATCAGGTTAGTGTGGTGGTGGATTCTTCCGATGCAGAGGAATTCTCATTCGTATTATCGAAGCCTTTGAGGTCCCTTCCTTATGATTCTCCTGGTCAGACATTTGCTGTATTTGAGAAGCCCGAGGGAGTTCCTGCAGTGGGGAAGTTCTCTAACACCCTGAAATTCATTGTTAAAGAGGTAAGTAAAACATGGTCGGGGAATCATTTCTCTTGTTGCTTTTATTCTGAAGTTCTTGGGCACAAATGTCCGTTGTGAGTATCAACAAGGATAAACTGATTTGGTCTCGTCTTTCGCAATAAATGCCAGGTTGATCCCAATACCGGGGAAGCAGACGAAGATGGAGTGGATGATGAATACCAATTGGAGGAACTGGAAGTTGTGTCTGCAGATTACATGCAGAAGGTTGGGGTCTCCAACTTCAGGAATGCATGGGAAAGCTTGGATGCTGACCTTGAGCGTGTGGATGAATATGGGCTTGGTCCCAGGGAAAGCCTTGCTGAAGCCGTTAATGCCGTCATCTCTCTTCTCGGAATGCAGCCTTGCGAGGTCTGTATTCTTGCTTTATAATTGATGCTTCATTTCTATCTCTAGAATTTAGTATCATTTCTCTCAAGTGTCGTTTCATTTTGCTTCGTTTTCCCAGGGAACCGAGGTGGTCGCAAGCAATTCGAGGTCACACACTTGTCTACTGTCCGGTGTGTTCATAGGCAACGTGCGGGTTCTTGCGAGGTTGCAATTCGGGCTCACCGGCCCAAAGGAAGTCGCGATGAAGCTGGCCGTGAAATCCGAGGATATCGCTGTCAGTGATGCCATTCATGAAATCGTCGCCAGCGGCTAAGAAATGGATACGAGTCGTTGGTGCGACCAGAAAAGAGAGCTAGAAAGAACACTGTAATATTTGTGATTGCAACTGAAGAAATTAGGTCATCAATCTTTTGTTTTCACTTTTTTCTTGTTCATTTTCTTGTATTCTAATATTGTAGAAGTCTTGTGTGAGCCCAGAGTAAAAGGACTCGTCATATTGTGTTGTTTTCTTGGTTTGTTATACGGCGGCATACATGCGATGAATTTTGGGAGTCATTAGCTCATTGTCCTGTTTCTTTTTTCATCTTGAATTATTTTTGTCAGGACGACTGAGGTTATATTGTAATATGGTAGCTGCGGTCTATATTTTGTTTAAGATTCACTTATGTTTTGATTGCATAGGCGCACATTCAACCAGAGATAATACACTCAACAATGAATCATATGTTATCTTCGTGTAACAGGGTGAGTGAAGACCGAAATCCATAATTGGCAACGCAAAATAACAGAGATTTGACTACGTTGTACACAAGTTTTGGTTCCTACTCCTTGCAGATACAAACTTGCATTTGCATTCCTCCAACAACAACATCAACCCCCAACATTCTTCTATTTCCATATTCATGACTCCAAACAAAGCAAGCGTAAAACTCAGGAGCTAAATACACTATGCTACAGGAAGATGGTGGGAATTGTTGGCACAGGAACACATATAAACGGCTAATCACTACTGCTTCGCTACTGCCCTTGTGCAGACTCCCCAGGCCAAGGCGGTTCTTTTCTCTTCGTCCACTTTTTGTGCAAAGCAATCAAGCATCAACCAGAAAGAGATAACAAGTTCCAAGTGCTGACGAGAGCAGAGAGAATTGGCCAGAGAAGAAGAATGTGTTTGAATACCTATTTCCTCGGGACTCAGACAACCTTCCGGTGCCCACCGAAGGCCCAAATCTGAAAAGCACCACCATAGTCAAGAGAGAATTCACCAAGCATAAGTAAGCAATAAAAAAAAAACCTAGTCATTTCGGTTAGGATTTACCTTTAGGTTTGAATCCCAACTTCCAGTGCATAGGGCACTTCCATCACCTGACATACCCAAACAACTGATACGGCTTTCGTGTGAGGTTTGCAGAGCTCCCAAGTTCAAGACAACCTAGTCCCAGACAACAACAACCATAACAGAGTCAAATGCCAAAACAAAGGTTTGAAAATATATGGATCCTCCCACCTAATCCACGGTTGAAAAAGAACTTCACCTCTGCCAGAAGAGTATCCCATACATAACAGGCACCGTTCGAATAGCCAGCAAAGAGAAGCCTTCCTGATATAGAGAATGCAATGGAGGTCACATGCGGGTTTTCATTCTCGCCATTCTGCTGTTGTTCGTACACTTGCAGTTGATGTCCAGTCCTGATGTCGAATAGCCTACATGTTCCATCATCCGAACCAGTTCCGAACCTATTCCCATCTGGAAAGAACTTGACTGCATTAACGTCTCCATTATGCCCATAGAATGTACGCACAGCTCGACTTGCAACACGAGTGTCCCATAGCCGAGCAGTTCCATCACAAGAACCAGATACAAACATCCTCGAGCTGGTACCATTAATTGAGACACTGAAGCAGCACAAGAATAATGTTATTATCATCCTCAAAAATTCAAAATAGGCCTGTCCATCTGAAGTAGGCGTATCACACAATTTACAAGTTATTAACATGAACAACACCCCAGGGTCCAATTGTAAATTAGTACACAAATGCACCCTGAGGTCGTTGGTTCTAACTGCAGTGTTGCCGGTATGGGTGATATGAATCCAAGAGAATAGATTATTCACATTAGTTTTGTAACACTCAAATATCTGTTCGATTGAAATCGGGATACAAATGACTTTGAATAGCAACTATCAATCAAGGAATGATAATTGAGCAATAGATGAGAAAAATAATACTATCACAAAACCCAAACTGCGGAATGCCTTCTTCACTGACCTTAATACATCAGCAGTGTGACCTGACTGAAACTCGCCTCCAAATACGGAAGTCCTGAGACCAGTAGTGGTGTCCCATAATACACATGTCTGATCACCCGAGCTAGTTATTAGGTGGGCATCTTCATCTGGCACATACTGACAGCATGATACATAACCCTTGTGCCCACTAAGCATCTTGGACACAGTTAAGTTGCCATCTTTGTCAGGCGGGGAATTGAGGTTGAAAATTGAGCAGACACTATCAAGACCACCACAAGCAACTGATTGTCCGGATGGAGAGAAGGCGCAGGTCATGACCCATGCACAAGGCAGTTTGATTGCATGAGTTTTTTGACTCGTTAGAGCATTCCATACTATTAACCTCCCATCTTGTGAAGCACTCACTATCCTGTTCTTTTCGGTAGTCCAATCCAATGCATAAACCTTTCATAAACAAACTTTCTTCAGACGAAATCTCCACTCCCTCCCACACCAAACATGAATAAATAATGTACAACGGGAAATATATATCTACACTGGATCACATGGTAATGAAGCTAAATTCAATAAGGTCACATTAAGCAATCTACATCAACAATCGCTGAGAGTAAACCCTAGCCAACAGCAAAAAGATTTGAAATTTACCCCTAAATGTATGACTTCTCAAAGAAATCAAACACCGAAAGAATTGGGGGATTAGCTAGCTAGCTCCACGAACTTACCTTGCCAGTATGTCCCTGAAGTGTCCGGCAGCAGACAAGATCGGTTGGGCCGAAGGTGACCGGAATTTTCCCCTGAGCTCTGGCGTACCCAGCAACTGCCAAACAAAAAGAATCCAATCGGATCTAACGCAGCATTCAAAGCCGGCAAAAGTAGGAGGAAATGGAAAACCCACAAAGAGAATGAAGCATAAAAGGAACTAATCTCGTTTCGCTCTTTCAAAAATCACAAAGGCTGGGAAATTGAAGAAACCGTACCATCCGTATCGAGCAATTGGAGGCGTTTCTGCTTCAATCGCTCCCTGAGAGTATTGACCGTCTCAGAAGCCGCCACATGACGCTCCTTCAGTTCAGCGACGGACATCGTTTCTCTCCCTTCTTCCCCCCACTGTTCAAACAAGAAGTGGCACAAGAACAAGAGGAAGAAAGAGAGAATTTGCAGAGTTTCAAATGGGAATTCGAGGAGAACCCATTAGTTGAAGCTCCTCGCCATTCCACAATCGGAATCGAAGCGGAAGTTGGAGAATTTCGTGGTGACAAAGGGGAATGCAGAAAAAGGCAAGTCAGCTGGGAGAAGGGATTGCTATCAATCTAGAGTTGTTGGCGGAGAAAGGAAGAAAATGGGGGAAGAAGGAGAAGAGAGCAGTTGGGAATGGAACGGTCGCCTGGCTAAGTCAGAGCGCAGAAGAGCAAAGACAGAGAGAGAAGGCTCTTCCTACCAAAAAAAAAAGAGAGAGAAGGCTCATAAAGTTGACAGTGGTGAAAGAGGTGAAAAAAAGGACAGTTCACGGAGAAAAGGACAGTGGATAAGTAAATTTGACAATAGCTTTGAGGTGGGCCATGGGCCTAGGCCCACTTGTTTCTCCACGGCTGCGAGTCCACTAAAGAACTCATAAACCAAGCTCTTTATCTCTTACCGACTTTCAGTTTAGTCTGTCAACTTATATGAATTTACAAACAGATACCAATTTTTTGTAACCAAAATTATACCTTGCAAGTTGCAACATGTAACATTAGTCCTTCGAATGGTAACCCCATTAAGCTTTTAACATGTGACATCACTGTGTTTAAGAAGAGTTTTTATAGGACTTTGACCCGAGTCTTACGTCATTATGCATGATGCTGCTTAATTCAAAATTTTCCGAAAATAAAATACAATTCCCTATTTCCTGTAATTTCCTATTTTTTTCCTCCCTATTTCTTATAATTAACGTCACTAAAATAATTATAAATTATCAATAACTTTTCTCAACATTCAAATCTCGTCCACCACCACCGCTACCCATTTCCACAATTCATCACTTTTTCCTTCAAACTCCGATTGTTGATTCAAAGAGAGGAAAAAAAATGAAGGCATTTCACATTGCATTCTTCACCTCCATTGTTGCCCTCCAGTCTCTAAACCTAGCCAGTAAGTCATCACATATCCTCGTAAACTCGGTTGATAAATAATCGTCGACAATTATCCATATTTATAATTCGCAATAATTTACCCGATACTACACATATGTTCATTTTATCATGTAGATGCACAAAATCGTCAACGTTGGTGTATACCTAAGCCGGGGGTTACAGATTCAATGCTAATCGAAAACATAAAGTTCGCTTGCGATCAGCCCAACATGGACTGCACTCCGATTCAACCTGGAGGTGGCTGTCCCCAAGATCTGACCTCTCGTGCCGCTTACGCCATGAATCTCTACTACCAAGACCACGGCGAAGTCTGGGATTGCGACTTCTCCAACACCGCCACCCTGACCGATGTCGATCCCAGTAAGTCACAACCTTTTTTTTCCCTCGATAATTCGCGTCTTTTTTTTTCAACCGCTCAAAAAACAAAAAAAAAAAAAAACAAATAGACTCACGATACACGGAGTCTATCTATTTTTTTTTACGTAGCGTCAACGTAGGTTAGTCAGTTTTTTTTCCTTGTATTGGTAATTTGAACACGAGACTTCACGATTACGTATTACTACAGGTACCGCGACCTGCAAGTTCATCTCGAAGCTGACCCCGGCGAGGCTGTCGTGGTGCGTGCCGAAGCCCGGGACGCCGGTGGAGCAGCTGAAGTCGAACATCGACTACGTTTGCAGCCAGCCGAAGATGGACTGCGGCCCGATCCAGCTGGGCGGCGAGTGCTACGATCCCAACACCGCCGCTTCCCACGCGGCTTTCGCCATGAACCTCTACTACCAATCACACGGCAACAAGTGGGACTGCGACTTCTCCAACTCCGCCGTCATCACAAATCAGGATCCCAGTACGTATTTATCATGTGCTTAGTTTCATTCATGAGTTAATATATGGATTATTGGTGTAGTTAATTAAGGATGGAATTTTTTAATGTTTTGTGTTACGTTTAATAATTTGTGATTTCAGGTTATGGGGGCTGCAAGTACGTTGCTAGGGCCGTGACTCCAGCATGAAAGAGGAAGTTAGGGAGAAGAAGCTAGATATACTAGTTTATATATAAGGGATTTGGTTTGAACTTGATTATCCCTTTTTGTTATGGGGAGTTTAAATTTGGGTTCCATTTTGTTTGATTTTTTTTCCTTCTACAAATAGTTGAATAGAAAATAAGAAAAATAAAATAATTGTATGAGTTGATTTTTGACAAATAAAATAAGAAATTTTTTTTTGACAATATCTACGATTCGTATTCTCCCTCTAGACGTCCTTCTATTGACATCGCCTCGCCAGTCGCCACCATAACATAGTGGTGTCCACCAAATAATGAAGGGGTATCTTGGTATTCTTGTCTCGAATACCCGATATTTTGATAAAGATATTCACTTAGTCACCTGACTCTAGCCCAACTGTTTTGGGATAGACCCAACCATGGTTGTTGGTGTACTACTTTCTGATTCCCATGTAGACCCCAATGACCCATTGTAATATGGTAATTAATAATTCAGTTTCACATACAAAAAGTTTCGTAGAAGCCATCATAACAATAATTCAGGTTTGTTCTCAACCTAATAAAAGCTGTCCGATGTAAAAAAAAATTCAATTAGTCTCAATAACTCGAGTTGTTAGGCGATATTCAATAATGGATCTTATACTATATACTAACGGTCTAACACATCCCCTAAAACGATAACTACCATATATTAACTTGAAATTTGTATAGATCCGAATATCATGTGCTTAAAAAATGTGGTTACAACAATTCGAATAAAAGACTTCTCGATCACCGAATTCTCCAATATCATATCATCAACAATAACCAGCCACCCTCGGAAGGAAAAAATTTCCCCCTTAATAACTTCCAGTACCTTAACACATGCAGTAATTTTCATCCACTTATTTTCCAGCACTTCACAGTTCATTGCTGGAAATTTGACTGCTCTCCATTTCGGTTTGAATCGTACCTCGAAAAATCCTCACATCATTGATTGTGCTTTGCTGTGTGGGTGATTGATACCATACCTTAGCTTGGGAAATCCTCAAATTCTCTCTATTGCCACACATGGTGGCAGTCAGTTCTTCAGTCCTTTCGTATTATGCCCATATTCGCTTCCTACTGCAAAATCTAACCAGTCTGCTTCATGGTAATTAATGGCTGGTTGGTCCCTTCCACCTTATAGTACGATGTTGTTGGATTCACAATCTTCCAGATTAATGTTTTCTCCAACAAAAATCATCCACTTCATTACCCCTCACCGTTGGAATCAAATTCTCTCCATTGCCACACATTGTGGCAGTCATCTTCTTCTTCAGTCGCTTTATACTTATTGGGTAGATTGTCACTGGTATATGATATACGATTGAACATCTTCCAACAACTCGAGTTATTGGGACTAACTGATTCTTGACATAGATATGAGGTACGAAAAGAAAGAGGTGATAACATTCCTGTTTCTAGCAATTTATGAGTAAAATTAATATGATGAACTACCAAGAAGTAAATATTCTTAACACAAACTTGTTCTTAATTTGTTTCGGGGTATAGGTAGGGAGCCAAACGCGGCTTAGGGAACGCTACGAGGGGCGTGGCCAGAAAGAGCTCATATATATCCTCCGCCTCAGCAAGCTCAATGGGCCCTAATGGAGCCCACGTGAAGCACTGGAGCAGCCTGGCTAGCAGCATGGTGCTAAACGATATGAACCTGAGATCGTGCTCCGTGAGAGTCACACCACCTCGGTCGTCAACGAGGTGGCGTTCTGGGTCGAACCTGAGCGGATCGGTCCAAACCTTCGGGTTCCTGCCAAGCCCGTAACGACTGAGGAGGGCGTGACTGCCCTTAGGGATGAGGTAGCCAGCCACAACCGTATCGCGAGTCGACACGTGGGGCATATTAAACGGAAATACCGGGTGTAGACGAAACGACTCCCTGACGCACGCCTTCACGTAGTGCAGGCTTCCGATGTCGGATTCTTGAACCAGTCGCGAATCTTTTCCAACAACTCGATCGATTTCCTCCGTAGCCTTGGCCATGAGATCTGGTCGGTTGATTAGCTCTGCCATCGTCCACTCCACCGCGTTGGATGGGTTGTCTATTACCGCCATCATTAATTCCTGCACATTAATGCACCCATTGATAAGAACATGAAATTTAGCCATGACAAAAAATGTCAGTTGACTTACGTTATATGTAAGTTTTTAATTAATTAATTGTTACCGCTGCCTGGCACTTGATTTCTTGGGGAGTAAGCAAGGGTTTCCCATCGACGTCATCCTTGAGAGTGACGAGGACGTCAATGAGGTCATCAATCTCCTTCCTCTCTCCACTTCTCCACTGCCGAATCCTCTCGTCGATAATAGGGTTTTGGAGGGCTTTGATGGTCTTATCCGCTTCCTTAACAATCTTTTCCTTTCCATCGACGTTCCATCCCCTCAGCCACGGCAGGTAATCCGATACACCGGAGTAGTACAAGTACTTCAACCCGGTGAACAATGCCTCCACGTGCTCCACTTCCATCGGCCCGGGCCCACCATCCGAGGTTGGCTCCCCGAAGAATCTGTTCAGAATTGTGAGTAAAAAAACCCAATAGTAAAATATTTGGACTAAAATTAGGATTTAATCGTGCTTCAATTATTTCCTATATCTAAAATTACCCTATCATTTAGAGTCGTCTGATCAGACGGTAGGATACAGTTTCTAAAATATCGTTTTAAATTACGATTGTATCTTGGAATTTATTAATATCTGAGTGCTCGAATTATTGAGATGAAATGATTTTCTACGTACCTGCGGCCGAAGAGCATCTTCCTCATGACGTTGCCGCAGAAATGCCGCGTGGCGACCCTGAGGTCGACGCTCTTCCCGGCCATGCAACGTCTGTGGACGTAGAAGACGAGGTTGTCGGCCTCCTCGGCGCGCTTGTCGTGGAGCCACCTGTGCCTGGCCGGGGAGACGATCTCGGAGGTCATCACCTTCCGCATTTTGCGCCACTGGTCGTTGTGTGGGCCCAGCACGGCGGTCACGTAGCCGCCGCTGATGACGTGGCTGCCGAAGGAAGTGGGGCGGTCGGCGAAGCTGGCGTCGTGCTTCCTCAGCATCTCCCTGGCGATGGCCGGGTCGAGGACGGGGACGATGGTGGGGCCGCCGGCGGGTAGGCGGATGAGGCAGATGTCGGTGTTCATCTCCTTCATCACGTCGTGGACCCACCGGAACATGGGCTTGCTGTGGAACATTACCTCCGGGAGGTTGCCGATCAGCGGCCACGATGGCGGGGTTGGAGGGAGCGGCGGGAGCTTCGAGGCGGCGGTTCGTTTCCTCTTGAGGGTTATTAGAAGGACGATGGAGGCGGCGAGGAGGGACAGGAGGAAGGGTTTTGTGACGGTGGCGCCGGCGGCGGACACTTGGTCGCCTGATGGGTAGTTTGGGGCCATGGTTGGGAGATAGGTTTGCAAAAAATAGGAAGCGAGTACTTATAACTAGGCAGCTCTATGCGTTAACATATGCATGCGCCATGTGCGAGGTGCTTTTAAAAAGAGGTCGCTGTAATTAATTTTGGTCAACCTTATCCGGTGTGTCTCCATCATCTAATTCATGGAACAGGAGTAAGGTTGTTAAATCCCTAACGATTTCTCAGTTGGAACCGGTTCGATCCGAGTCGAGTTTCAAAACGGTTTCCAAAAAGTTCTCGGTCTAACTCCTAAAGAGGTAGAAGAAGAGAGGGGGAAGAGAAGAAGAGGAACAAAGGAAGAGAGATGGTGGGTACGTGGATCATGGAGGTTAGGTAGATTTATTTTGTGGAAAATAAATTTTTAATAGATATATTTGTATATATATTAAGAAACCGTCTAAAACGGCTCAAACTGGCCAGACCCCGATCAGACCATTAAATCTCAAACCCCTTGCTTGACCGGCTCAATGACTTAAACCGGTTTGACAACCTTGAACAGGAGAAAACAAATTTCAATGGTTGAAAGAAGTACATGTTAAGTACAAAATTATTTAGGAACTGAAGAACCAAACTAATTTAACACAACTAACTTAATTACAAAATAGAGTGATAAAGAGTATTTATAAAACTTTTTTTTTTCAATCATAAGCTGAAAATCAAATACATTCCTCGAACCAAAAATGAAAACAGTAAAAAATAAAATAAAATCAGAAATATAAATCCATAATGATAATAAGCTCAAACCAAGAAATACAAATGGATAAGGTCCAAAACAAATTCAAGACATATCTAAGGCTGAAAAAAAGTTCCTGGCAGAAGAGGAATGAATTACACGTGTTGTTGTTTTTTTTTTCCGGTTGAATTCAACGAGGGATGATGCATACGTTACGGATGATGTGGAGAAACTAGAGACCTGAATAATACGTGGTTTGTGATTAGTGTGGCGATTGCATTGTCATGCATGCAACTTGGGAGGATCATGTGACTACTTGGGAGGATATCACGTGATTAAGGGGTTTAAATCTCTTTCTAGTCTTCAAATTTAGACATACTAGCCTAACGGTTAAAAAGAAGACTTATTTTTTAGGATAATTTCTATTTATTATTCAAATTTTTTTCCAGATTTTTTTATATTTTCAAACCTATTAAAATGCTATTAATTAGTCAATTTTTTTGTAAAGCATAAAAATATTAGTCATTTTTACGTTATCGTTAGTAATTTTGTAACACTTTTCTTAGTTAAAATACTAAAACTTTGCAAAGTTGACCTTCATGTGTCTTTTTCAAGTTAGTAATTTAGTATCATGTTGTCAAGTCAATACTACTTACAACATTGCTAACTGAACGTTAAAATTTGGCTGCTTATTAGTATTTCGATAATTTTAGATTATAAAAGAATCTAAAAAAGGTTTGGATAAAAAATAGACATTACCCAACTTTTTAATTAGTGATATGAGCAATTTTGATATTATGAAAAATTAATTTTATTTATATTAATTTTATTTTTCTCTCTCTCCTATCACTTTCCAACTGTCATATTTTTTTTATTATTTTGACTAGTCCTCTTTTTTTTTTGTATTACCTTAGAGCATCTCCATTGGTGCAATTGCATTTGTTTTTTTATTGTTACTTCATTTTTTTTGCAATCCAACTCATCTTACTTGCATTGCACCACATCAATGCAATTAACTTGCAATTGCAACTAATTTTTTTTATTTAATTTATTAAAACATAAACACTTAAATAATAAAATTAATGAATAATTTAATAATAAAAAAGATGATGTGGCTTGCATTCCATAATTGCATTATATGCAAGCTTGCAAAGATGCAATTGTCAATTGCATAATGAAATTGCATAATGCAATTGCAAATGAATGCCATGTCATAATGCAATTCTAATTGCAATTACAATAGAAATACTCTTACTTATACAAACCCAAGTGGCCAGTGGGATTGCGATTTCTCCAACTCCGCCATGATCACAAATGTGGATCCTAGTATGTATTTTTGTGCTTCATTCATGATGAGTCGATATTTGGATTGGTGGAATTCAGGATGGATTTTTAATGTTTTGTGTGGGTTAATTCCATGAATATTGTTTTTTTTTTAATTTACCACGAATATAGTGGTTTTAAAACTATTTACAAGAATATTGTGTTTTTAGGAAGAAAGTCGGCGACGGCGCCCGAGACTTAGAAATTCCAGTTTTAAACGCTGTTGATAGCGACGGCGCCCCAGTCCCGAACTTTGGCGCCTTCTGAAATTTCAAAAATTTTAAGAGGCGCCAAAGCCCGAGACCGAGGCGCTGTCGCTGTCAAGTTTTATTTTTTTTTACCCCCTTCCTCCCCCCTCCCCCTCTCGCACCACACCAGACCAGACCCATCCCACCTCCCCTCTCCACTCCTCCCTCTCCATCCCAGCGCCAAGAACAAGCGGCGACGCCGAGAACCAGAGCGGCGACGCCGAGAGAAAGGCGGCAGCGCCCCAGTCCAAGGCGACGGCGCGCGGCACAAGGCGAAGTCGCCACCTCTCTAGCGGCGGCGCAATGTCAGACGACGAGCAGGCCCCCGGCGGCGGCAGAGGAAGAGGCCGAGGCCGGCTAGGTCGGCGTGGCGGCGGTGGCGGTGACGGCGGCGGCGAACGTTACCGGAGTGAGTATTGCCGGCGGCGACTTTTTCCGGCGACTTTTTTTTTTTTTGTCTAACATTTTTTTTCTTCAGTTCCTAGGCTTATCGATCCTTGTTCGATGAGACCACCACCTACGACAATCGATACTGCTCCGAATGATCCGGAACTTCTTTGGGGGCATGGTCACCATCGGATTGACGCAGTTTGGGCAAATGAGGTAAGTTTTTTAAATTAAATTATTTCTATAGTTTTTTTTATTAGCGGTATAATAGAAATAGAATAGAATAGAATTAAATTAAATTAAATAAGACGAATAGAATTAAATTAAATTAAGAATAGAATTAGATTAAATTAATAATATTTTATTAGAATAAGTTTAGCTTAGATATATAAAAATTAAGAATAGAATTAGATTAAATTAAGAATATTATATTGAAGGAATTGAATTAATATAGTTTTGTGCATTAATTAATTATAGGCTGGTGATCGACCATACCACATTCGTCATACGGGCAATTTAGTTCGATACAATCCACTGTACCTGCCGTATCTCGTCGATGCCGGCTTGTCTAGTGTTCTGCCACTAGCCCCTCTTATCGGTGATCCGGGTTTGATTACTGCGCTCGTAGAGCGTTGGAGACCCGAGACATCGACATTTCACATGCCGTTCGGTGAGGTGACGATCACCCTAGAGGACGTTGCGACACTCACCGGATTAGCGATCGACGGTGATGCCGTCATAGTAGACATACCAGACGAGGACTGGTCGGCTATGTGTCTTCGACTGTTAGGACAGGCTCCTACTGATCTTGGTGGCGGCGTCATCCGGATTACTTGGCTCAGGGAGACTTTCGATGAGCTACCGCTTTCTGCTTCACCAGAGACGACAGAGCAGTTTGCTAGAGCGTATGCGCTGTCTCTGATGGGAGGTGTCTTGTTCTCCGATCGGTCTGGAGGTTCAGTTCACCTGCAGTATCTACTTTTGGTAGAGGATTGGCGCAGAGCGGGGAGGTTTGCTTGGGGAGCAGCTGTGCTATCCTACTTGTACCGTGAGATGGGTAGATCGGCGCTGCAGATGACGGCATCTTCTTCACTGGGTGGTGACTTTGGTGGATGGGCCGCCTTGCTGATGCTCTGGACGTGGGAGCGGTTTCCTCATACATCACCACTACATGCGGTGACGGGTGCGCAGATTACTCAGGACGCAGTGCCACGTGGCATTCGGTGGCTTCCGGCCCAGACCCGTCAGCATGGAGATCAGTTCTACTTGTACAAGCTGTGGTTTGACGAGTGCACGACATTCGTGGTTAGTATATAACATTTCGTTTTATAGAATAGTGTTAATTGATTTATTATAGATTTAGGAGTAATTATGTGACCAATCATTGTGTGCAGTGGCGTCCGTACTTTCATAGAGGTCAGGACTACAGCGGTACTGTGATCCAGTCCCACACGTTTAGAGCAGTAGTTCCGCTGATCTGCTTCTCATCGCAGATGTGGCATCATCCAGATCGCGTGCTAGGACAGTTTGGAATGGTTCAGGACCGGCCTCATCCTCCACATTCCGCGGCTGAGATTAGATTTTTTCTTCGTGTGGGACAGCATGGACCATCACGGGGCCAGCAGTTCTTACAGGCAGCCAGCGAGTCGATTGAGTTGTGGAACCGTCGACATGAGTTCGTAGCGCAGACGAGCTACAGTGACGTGGAATTAGCTTACCACTCGGAGCATCAAGAGTGGTATAGAGATGTCACTAGACGTTCAGGCACACGGAGAGTTGCTGCACTGAACGCAGCGGTGAGTTTTTTTCGTAATTAAAATTTGTGTTTTAATTGTTTTTAGATGTGTGGAATTTCTGATATTTTTCATTTAAATTGCAGTACGACTGCATGGAGACCGTTGAGCAGGGTTTACGTGATGGGATGAGAGCAGGAGGGCTATCATATGACCAGATGGCGGAGTATGCTGACCAGTTGGCGGCAGGGGTTACAGCTATAGGTTTTAGTCATCGCCGACATTCGGATACAGAGCCGGTACAGCGGTACCCCGATGAGCGTAGCTTAGCCAGCTGGCCAGAGCGTAGGACTCTGCCATCGGGCTGGGGCGTGCCACCGCCACAGTTCACAGAGGAGCCCACGAGGAGGAGACAGCGACGTGAGCAGGGTGACGTACCTCGTGGAGTGAGGTACTCAGATCGTCAGCCAGTCAGACCTACTTCGACCTTCACATTCCACCAGCCTTCTCAGCCACCGTTACGGCCAGGCGCTTCTACCGGATTTCAGGCAGGCACCAGTTCTTCTAGCCCTCAGTTTCAGCCCCAGGAGGATAGCTTTCACACACCTCAGCATGCTACGATGGGAGGAGGGCACAT